GATCTAAGACAGACTCCCAGTGCTCTGTGGAGGCATTCGGGCCCTCACACCTCCAGCACTGGCTGCCCCTGGGCGATGGCAACTTTCTCAGGATTTGGTTTCTCTCTACACCAGAGTAGAATAGCACTGAAGCCCTGGAACCTTTTCTCTTATAGATGCTTCATAAAAATCTATTTTAAATTACTTAAAGAAATAAAGTATTATAGCTATTTCTAAGTAATAGGGTAGCTACTTATAAAATAGTAAAGGCAGAAGGCCCTCCTGTCCATTGCCGCACTGCACAGTTAAGCTGCTGTATCCCAGCCACAGCTTGGGTCTCCACACTGGCTTGCTGGTGCTGCTTTATGACCTGCCTCGATTGCACATCATCAGCCTGCAGCAGAAAGGCACAGACTGATCCCTTCCCAAGCTTACACCACCAATTTCAAACACTGTTAATAAATCCATTTGAAAAATCAGACTTCTCTGCCTTGCAAAGGAATTCCTACATTCTTCAACATGAAGCTCCACCGGGAGCAGCGAACAGGAACAAATTGTTTCCTTTTCCTAAGGAGGGGCCAGCTTAACTAGTGAAAAGGTAACTGGGAGCTCAGAAGGAAAATTCACACATCTTGTTCTTATTCCAGGTGCTTAAGTAGGAGCAACCTGTGTATCAAAGCTAGAGCTGCACTTCCCTGGTGTAGTGCTCTGTAGGTGCTGTTTGGAGCCCTGAGCACTTGGTAGCACACACCAACCTGCTCCAAGCAGTACCAGGGCTGAGCTGCAGCAAACACGAGCTGTCCCTGTTGGTTTTCAGACGCACGGGTCAGGCCGGAGCCCCAGCGCAGCAGCCACAAGGCTGGCCCTGGCTCTGGAGTGGTGCAGCTGCTCTGCAGGGCCCAGGATGGGACAGCAGCAGGGACAGGAGCACACCCTGCTCTGTCCTGGCCACCATGCCCGGGCTGGGGCACAGAGGGACCAGCACATCCCCTGGGACCGGCCGGTGATGCCTCCACAGGGCCCTGTGGCCACGCAGGAGCTGCAGTGGGACCGGCCAGCGTGGAATGGAGCACCTACTGTACAGACATCCCGGGAGGGCAGCCAGAGTTCTGCCACTCTGAGCCTGCACATCGACGGCTACACTAACATCACAGCAATGCAAGTGGATTGCAGCCACATCTTTCCTCTCCTGGTAAATCATTAACCTTTTGGATGACAGCCTTACAAACCAAATGACTGAACGATTCCCAGGGTCAGTGAGAACCTATGATTCCAAAACCTCGCATCAACAAGTGAAAGTTGTGACTGAATCCCAGTCTCTCCAAGAGGAAGATTAAATACCTGTGACACATCATCTGCAATCAGAGTGCTCCTTTCCCCAAAGTATCCGTCACAGATTGATAACATCCATGCAAAAAGTTAAGTGCAATTATGCCTGTCACTGTAAAACACACTTCCACAGCACTGACTGACATCTTGTGTGCAGCTGACAAACTCTGAGCGGGCTGCTTGAATGACAGTGGCACAGGCTCCTGCTGCACCTTGGGAAGGGATGCAGAACGTGCTCCCAAGCCGCAGAAGCCACCCATAGAGCACCACAGCGGGGACAGAGCCACCACACAGGCATCTGCAAGGAAAAACGGCTCACAGCTGATTCTGCGCGTACTCACACCAGTCAAGGAGCTGCTCCCAAAAGGCTGGAACCAAACTCCAAGAGGAGAACGTCACCCACAAATCCTGTTGCAGCCTACTCCAACAGTGTGAGGCATGGCAGAGCTGGGCCCTGAGACAGTGCTCAAACATTCATGACATGTGCTGTTCTGCAAGTCCCCAGCCCATGAACTGGCAATGACATGACAGGCTGGGTGAAGCAAGAGTGTGCCAAAGGTCGGGTGAGTTACCTGTAACCACCACCTCCTCTGGGGGAGGATTACCTCCCTGCTCCCCAAAATGATGCTGCCACACAGCACAGGCCTCACGCTCAGAGCAGAGGTACAGAGGGAAGTTACATCAAGTTCCCCATGTAAGTCAGTCCTCCAGCAGCAGGATGGGAACCTGCAAGAGCATTTCTTCAGACTGCCAAGAAGCTGTTGCAAGAGTTGGAGAGAAAAGACAGTAAAGCAGCTTGATGAGCTGCACAAGGGAACGGCCATGCTCCATGGCACAGCATGCCACCCTCACTGGGACATGCCAGGGCTGCTGCTGGAGGCTATTAAGCCAGATGCCTGTAGAAGAAAACACAAAGGAGAAGAAATGGCTGAAAAATACCACTTGTAGTCCAGCACAACTATCAAACAAAGCCTCCTCTTGTGCAGCCCTGACTGTGAGCCGTAATTCTGTGACACGAGTGGCAGAAGCAGCACTGCTGATGTGCACCTACCTGTCGAAGTCACACCTCTGATACATGACAACTGTGTGATGGGCCACCATCCACACAACAGAGCAGAGGGGCTGGTGCAGAAATAAATATATCCCACAGTAAAAAGTCCTTCCATATTAGGTTTAGTTGTACAGAAGTGTTTAGTTTACATCTAGCATTAGCAACTGTTTTGAAGCCCCCTGTTGATTCAGAATTATTCTATAATGCAGACATCAAGTGAAGAGAGCAGCCAGTATCTGACCAGCCCAACACTAGACTCTCCACAGTGCTCATGCAGCAGTTGTCCAATTGTATCACCAATTCTCCCTCACTACAGAGAGAGCTTCAGAAAAACCCACTGCTATTTCTGTCAGGACATATCCACATGGAATAAAACAGCAAACTGGGTGCCAGTGCAATCTCCTCTCCCTATGGTGATGTGAAAATAAGAGATTACTGGTGGCTACAATCTTCCACAAACACTGTGTTGAGTAACTCACGACACTGCTGAGTGTGTTAGAAGAGGCCTTCAGGTTGTCTGTGTTCCCTGTAATAATTAAATATTTGCAGGATGCACCTTTATATACATTTCTATTTCTTAAAAAAATATATTGGATAATAAATAACCAGAGTAAAAAAACAGACATGAAAGATGCTTTGAATGATCAGGCTGGTGGTGTAAAAGTTACCTGTAAATCACACATGGGGTGGGAGAGTGGAGCTGGCTACAGACAGGTGGGTTTTACTACAAGGCATTAATGTAACATTCAATTATTCCACTGCATACTGGCTGGTTTAACTCAGCCAAATTAGAATACATTTTATATTGACTATTTTGACATTTGCTTTATTTGGCAAGTAAAACAAAACTGATCCAATTTCCTTGCAGCCATTGTAAACCATAAACTGCACAACAAGAGGTTATAAAATATATAAGCCTTGTAAACACTTCTTTTCAGACTGTCACTGATGCTTTGAGCTCTAATTCTGGCCCTGTTCCAAACAGCTCTGACATGGCTCTGCAGCCTTCTCTGGTCAGCTATAAAGTGATCCTTCCACATTCAGTGATTAAGCACTGCCACTGACATTCTCTTGCTATGATAATTTTCTTTTTCTTTATTGTGGAAATCTGCCCAGACAGAATTTCTTGCAGAAAGAAAATGAAGATCTGTGCTCTAAAATCAAGACATCTTTCTCTCTGATCTCACATGGCCTGAGCTGGCATCTAGCTTATGTCCAGCAGAGCTTCAGAATAACATCTCAGGTCCTACTAGGACAGGCTTGAATCTCCAGAAAACAGCTGGCTTTTCATCTCTTCTGCCTCCATCTCTGAGAAGACGACAGCACATCTGCCTGCAGCACACCTGACAGTACAGGACAGCATGCACTGTGCCAGGGCACGGCAGCTGACCAAGCAAAACTCAGAGAAAGAAACACCCAAATGCTTTGGAGAGCTCAAAGAGCCACACCAGGACAGTGGATTTCAGTTTGGATCATGGGTGAAGGCTCAAATGTACATACCTGCCTTAAGGAGGTGCCTGATAGCTTTTTGAGGAATATGTTGCAGCAATTTAAAAGCCTAACCCTGAAATGACGTGTAAATCAAGACTCTACAGATGTAAGCAATTTCCACCCATATGATATAATGACCTTTGTACACAACCTGGACCTTGTAATTCCTCTCTGCTGTCTCCTTCGAAATTCTAGCTCTCACTAGTTATTGCAATACTGTAAAGGTATCTGCAGTGTAGAAAATGCCTAGAGCAAAAATACACATACACTTATATAGGCAAAAGGACAAAGGGTCCTGAGGAGAGTGTGCTGTCCCTTGGCAATGGCCTGGCCCAGTCTATGAGCCTCAGCAGCAGGAGCACAATTCACACCGAATGGCAGGAGTGCAAAGTTCTCGCTTAATCACTGTCTGGGCTGGTTTGTTGCTTAACAACACCTGTTTTTGTCCAAAGAAATCCAGCAAGTAAGCTGTCAGTACAGCACTACTGGTATATGAAAGTGTACACACCAGAACATCTGTTGATACACACACAGAAATATTGCCTGCAACACAGGGAGAACAGCCTGGACCGACACCACTGCCCAGCAGTGCTGCTCCTATCAGTCACCACAAGATGAGCAGGTTGCTGTGCATGCTCATGTTAGCTGCATAACTGGAGCTCAGCAACTAGCTTCAAGAAAATAAAAACCAAGGACTAGCACTTCAAACCATGAATGGACTGGTCCTGGAGATGAGCAAAACCTGTTTTCTTTCTGAAGTATGTAGAGACACTTCTCCCTCCCTCTGGTCAAGGAGAACAGCTGGCTGGGCTGCAGCTCTGGCTCACCCTTCTGAGCCGACCCACACAAATGTGTTGGAAGCCACAATGTCCTGCATAGTTTGAAGCAAAGGAAAGGTACAGTTTACTGTTTCCCTTCCTCTGCAGGCTTTTCCTTTCTTCTGGCTTCTTCAACCATTTTTCTTTACACAGCAACAGGCAAAGGAACTTCCAGCAGGCAAATACTTCAACAAGCAGCACATTTCCCTTATCAGACTGTGACACAATCATTCCATACAGATTCAGCACCCTAGTCTTGGTTTCCCAGGCAAGGTTAGTAACCACAAGACATGCAGCATCAAGCAGAAGGAGCTGGAATGCAGAAAACCTACCTTGGCAGGTTGGGAGCGGGTGTTGAAGCTGGTGCTTGGGCGGGAGGAGCCGCAGGCTGCGCGGAGTCGTGATTGCGCGGCACTCTGCCCATCCGATACCAGATACCCATGCTGTTCAGCTCCCTGGGGAACCAACACACAGCATCAATGCTAGTACTGAACACAGGCACGAGCAGCAGGCACTGACGTGTTCCAGGAACACCTTGCTCAGTGAGAACAAGTGTAATTAAAAAAAAACAGGAGGGGTGAGTTAATTCCTGCATCAAACTCAGTAACACTTGTACTTACTTGGACTTTTCTAATCGCCTCTTACAAGCTACTGCTTGGTAATTATGGGAGCATAGGGCCCTTGCTTTGGTATAACTGCATCCATGACAACAACTTTGCAGTCAAGGGTACTTACCCTATGAATGTGTACTGAGGAGGGGCTTGCTTAGATCTCCCCAGGATTCGGATATCGCAGATCGCTGCCTCTGTAGAATCTCGAGGGATGAATTTAATGCACAGCCTCTTCTTTCTGAAAGCTACTTCTTCTGCAAAAACAACCCAGAATACAGGGTGGGTTTCATGCAAGATTAGAGTATGAATGTTATTTATAGTCTCTCCAGATGTAAGGCAGGTAATTATGGCAGAACTGGTGCCAAAGAACAGACATATGTCAACAAACTAGTCAGTGAAGTGCCATTCAGAGAGGAATGTTCTATCAGATGTGTTATTCGCACTGCAATAACCAATCTCCTCCTGCCTGCTGCAGAGATCAGCTCCCACATGTGCCCTGGTGCTGCCCCACAGCACAAAACAGCAGGTGACTCTGCCAGTTCCACATGCCACTCACACTCCCTTGCTCTTTCCCAGGTAGCAGTCGCCTCACTGGCCTGGACAGCCGTATCTAAACATTCCTCCCACAAGCACTGCCTCTAGGAATGTACCTGAAAGCTTCTGACACAACCAGTCAGTTCATTCTGCTACGTGCTTCCAACCAGACACTTCCAACCCACTGTGAGGAGGAGCAGGCAGAGCCTGCCATACAGAGGTTGAGTGTAAGAGCTGTCTGTCCAAATCTCACACATCCCAAGTGTTAGTGACATCTGATCAAGTCAGCAGGCACAGAAGTGACACTCCTACCATGTTTGCCCTGGTTCTTTCCAAGGACAAACCAGATTCACAAAGCAGTAATTGCCAGAACCTCCCATGACGCAGCTGCTCTGACCTGTACTCTGAGGGTGGATGATTGCACTGCACAGCCCTTCCTGCGACGTGTCACAGAGCAACTCCACTTGTTTCCATGTTATCCACCATGAAAAACTCAAGCCCATAGGAGTTAAGGCTTATCTGTATAATGAATTCACAGATCTTCAGGCTGTTTACCAGCATGCAGACAACAGTCCACAGCCAGCGCTGGTGCTGTCTGTGACCACGGCTGGCACTGGCACACAGACACAGATTTGTGGTGCTTGGGAAACAATGCTCCATCTCACCCTGAGGCGTCTCAGGGTGAGCAAGGTGAGGCTCCTGTTTGGATGCAGGCACTTGGAAAGCAGGACAGAAGTCTACTGAAAATCTAAAGGGCAGACGCTGAATGAAAATCTGGAAACAACCAGCAACTACAAAAAAGTGCCTGCAAAATAAAAACCCTTCTTCTTAATTTGAACAAATATCTTCCAACTTAAAATATGCTGTCACTTCAACAGATGGCAAGCAGCCCTGTCTCCATAAGCTCCTCCTGTTCCGTAATCCACACCTTGGGAAACAGCAATCCATTCCAACCTCTGGAATGCACTGCTGCACTAGCACCAATAACCATACAGTGTGAGGTGTGCACAGAACATCTGTGCATGCAGCTTGCAGATACAGTGGTGCTTTTAGAGATGGTAAATACATACATCCCTGAAGTCTAGTCTTCCCCTGCTTTGAAAAAGTAGGGCTTCTGTTTGAAGTGCCTAAAACTGATTTTAGGAGTCTAGGATTTAAGGCTTGTGAAAATCTTCTCAGGACCTACTAAGGAGTACTGTATTAAATGTATTAACTGCGAGTCAGCTGCCACTTTGAGAGGAGCACAGAGACACCTGTAACCACAAAGCTAACTGAAAAAAAAGCAGTGCCTCTTATTTGACTTTTTCTGCAAGCACAAAGCTGAAAATTTGCTTTTGTCTGTGTTCTCTTTCACACCACTTCCTTACAACAGGCAGTGCCCTTGCTTTAAAGACTGTCACAGTCATAACCCAACGCATTTCAAATTAATGACAAAGCCCCCTTCAATCTTTCCACCAGGACTTCCACACAACACAGGGCTGCCACCAGACATGGCTCCAGCTGCTGCTGGCACAAGTCCCAGGGGAGCTGAACACACTGTTTGGGAACTGCTCATTCACATGTTGCAGTGAAGCAGTTCTACCTTGCAGAAACGAGGATGGTACTCCCTCTGGACACTGCACTTGTGCCTTGTGTCAGCTAGCACAAACATACTTGACCCCCCTCAGCACTTCCTGGCAGGACAGGAGCCCTTGCTTCCTCAAGCAGGGAGATGTACAGTGGGCAGGCATAAACCCACAGGCCCTTCCTTTCAGTGCAGTTCTGAACGCCCCTTGGCACAGCAGCTCTCCTCCTGCTAGGCCCACTCCACTCTTCAAACTGAAAAAAGAAACTCTCCCTTCCTGCCTGAGACATAGAACTTTAGCAGGTGAATGGATACAGACAGGCATCCCACTAAACAGCCTGAGGAGGACAAGAAAACCAAAGGCTGTTTTACTGCAGCCCAGAGCTGCCTCTAAATGTGCACATGCCACACCAGAGAGCGGAAGTGCCAAGAGTGACGGTGACCCTCTGCCTGAGATACAGCCCTGCATGGCCTGACCACAGAAGCACTGGCAGAGTGGGACTGAGGAATAGATGTCAACTTACGTGTATCAATGGTCTCCTGGATGGGCATGAAGCCTACAGGTAAAGTGTCCTTGATATCAATGAGCTTCATATCAACCAAGACATTGCCTAAATGACTCTTTGGAGAGAGAAAAGAAACAGTTGATTATGAAAATGTCACCAAATTAAACCCCAGATCTTCCCACCTGCTGAAGCCTGAGAGGCCTTGTCATTGTATCTGACCACAACTTCAGAATGTACCAAGGCACCCTTGCAAGTGTCCTCTCAGCAGGAACCAAACAATGACTGACTAGGAGACACCAGACAACTTCCAGCATTCAAAATTCTAACACCTCATCCACTGCCATACTTCCAGATCCTTGCAAGCACAGCCAAATTTTTCCTTTTGTAGGCACTGCAGTTCAAATTACTACTTTCACCAACCCATGCACTGAGCAGGTTGCCTCAGTTCTTACACATTCTACATCTACAAGAGCAAGAACATGACATTTCCATGACAGTAACAGCAGAAAGCATTACAGGATGATGACTTATGCACACATAGCCAAAGTTATTACATGCAATAACTAATTAGTACTAAATAGACAAGGTTCTAGCTCCAAATGCAGCACACTCCAGAAGCACAGGCCGTTTGGAACAACAAACTTCATTTAGAGTCCATATGAATTCTGAACTCATGCCTTGTCCTATTAATCAAGGCTTGAAGAGCACTGTGCTCAATTCAGAGTGACAGCATCCACAATGGTTTAGAGACTAGATTTTCTTTGCAGTTTTCAATAAAACCAGCACTGCTGTCAATAATCTGGAGTCACATATGAAAGAAGAACACATTTTAGGTACTGCACAGCCTTTATAAACAGAAACACAACACAGAACAATTAAAATTTCATCCCAAGCCATAAAACAATGTCATTGAGTTTTACTGTTAATGTTTGCAAAATACCTCCTTTGGTTTTTATCTGGCAAGTTTTTCAGACAAACCTGTACTCTCTGATTATTTCACTGAACTACTTAAAAATATTTAAATTTGCAGGCTCTGAAATAAGGGGAGGTCAGGTCTGAGTTTATTTTTGGGAGGTCCTGCGTTTTATGGTCCTCAGCAGAAGGCTCAGAAGACCTGCTGCCCTGTCCCACCAGACACAAGTGTGGCACACATCCACTGCTCACATGAAGAGGTCAAAGCCAGGCAGCCCCCACATGCCACTGACCACCCATGTCCAGAGTACCTTGGAGCAAGCAACGCTGGATGCTGCCAAGCCTGAATGTGTCACTTAACATGGTCCTGGCACAGCAAACAGCAGACAAAGTAGTTGCTGCTGATTCATCTTTCATGTTTTATTTATTTAAGCTGTCTGTGTGTTACATCAGTGGCAACTTTCTGCTGAACCACTGACCAATTCTTCCATCAGCAGCAGACAGATAGGAGAGGTGTCTCTAATGAGCTTGTTAGCTGCTGGAACCCTGGGAGTCAGCTGTGCCAGGTACACAGGAGAAAAGGGGACAAAGCCCCCAAGTCTGTGAGACCACCATCCAGGGCCTCCCTGCACTCAGATACAGCAATGTCCTTATAATTGTCAGATACTGTCAACTGCTGAGAATGATGATTCTGCTAAACAGGCACTGCAAACTGACTCTGCTCTAGCACAGATATCTGAAGCCATTAACTCTACTAACTACAACATGCCCTTCAGGAGAAAAGAGTTTCCAGTATTTTGCTAAACACAAAAGAAACCCCCAAATGGTAAAACTTCTAACCCAAAGTGCAGCAACACATCAGTGCCCAGGGGAGAGAGAAGAGTCTCTCACCTCCCTTCCTCCCAGATGAGGGAACTGAGGCCCCTTAGCCCCCAGATGCCCCAACAGGGAAGTACACCATATATCCCATACGGCCAAGAGGACTGAGGGAAGGGGAAACTTTTTATCAACATTTTTGCCTCATCAATATGAAGAAGGTACTTGCAAACCATGCCGAGCCCAGGGTTCCTGCCCAAAGTCCAACAGGCACCACCTGAGGGTATTTACACAGTCTCTGCAGCCAGCAGCTGCTCCTGTCCTGTAATTATTTCTGATAACTTTGCATTTCAGGCAGCCACAGATCAATCAGCACAAACCTATTTAATAGCCTCCCTGCCTTTTCCAGGGCTGCTATTCCTGAAACTGTACATACTTGGGGATGAAAAGCACAATTATTGTCCATCCACCCCAGGAAGTGATATTTCCCATAGCTCTGGAGCTTTGCTTTAATCTAGAGGCAGGCAGGGAAGTAGATGGAATAAAGGTCAAATGCTGGGAATTGGCAATGCCCAGCTTTACTGTCAGGACCTGTGAGCAGCCCCTGAAGCTGCCATCACTTTTCTGCTCCCATCGTGGTGAATGCACAAGTACAAAATGGTACTTCCAGACCCTGCCAATTGAGTCACCGTGAATATCCAAAGTGCAACCAAAAGCAGGATTACCCACTAGATGGAGTGCATTCATTGCAGAAGTCAACAATTCCTCCAGAAAAAATAAAGTTTTCACAGTAGCCTCAACCAAAACCACAGCAGAATGCATGAAGCTCTTGCTGCAGTCTCCTCTCCTCCACAGAAAGTGTGGGCAGACAACTGCCACTAATCACGAAGTAACTCATACTTAATAGTCAGACCAGATTACAAGAATGTGGTAGCATATGCACAGTGTGGGCACATTTTCAAGAATCAGTACCAAAACCAAGAAAGCAAGCAAGCTAATCCTGCAATAAAATATCTGTGATGCCCCTGGATTCAAAAACCAACATTTCCTTCACTGACCTGCATTGTTTGTTTCTTTAGGAATTTGGGTTAGACATCAATCAGGAGCATGAGTGTGCAGCACCCACTGCTGCAGCAGGAAACGAGTGTAAGACGCTGCTAAAATGCAAACGTTTCCTTTTGTGCTTCTTTTATTGCAGAAGATTTTGTCAGCAATTTCTTTCCATGAGAAACACAGACAAAATGCAAATATTCTGCCATTGCACTTTGCCTCCTTACTCACCCGAACTCAGTGAAACGCCTGCTTGAATTATAATTGGCTCCATAAAATGAATCATCTTATGGGTAAGAGCATACCAGGCACAGATGCAAATCATGCAGACACTCAGCAAACGGACTTACATTTTCTTTCGAAAATGATCTGGTGAAGCACAGGTACCGTGTGACCTTGGATTTAAATAAGCCATCTTTCCACAGGTCAGCATCCAAGCCATCTGCTGTTTGTGCAATCTGCAAAGAGACAGAGAGAGAGAGAGAGGAGACATGTGAGCCAAGATAAAGTTAATACATGTGCAGTACTTCTTCCTCAGACCTCTCCTAATTAACAGCAGCCCAAACTTTCACAGCATCTCATTAGTTTCTTCACAAGGTGCAGTGCAAAGAACTTTCAAGAGGAGGTATAAAAAGAAGTTCTAAAAATGTTGTCTCTCAGGAGACCCTTGATTAAAGATGCCCTGACAAAGGCTACTCTAATGAGGAAACTGCAACTTCAGTTATAGTCTCCAAACAGTAGTTTGGAAAAGTCAGCACATTGAGGGATTCATTACCACCCCACACACAAGGGCACACCAGGCATGCTGGGAGGGTCCGTGAAGACAGAGCACAGAAACTGACTCGTCTCAGGACTATTTTCATGGAAAGCTGAAAGGAATTCTGGCTCCCAGATCAAAAAGCTGCTTCCAGCAGGTGGGGGAATCCCTGGTCACTGGTGGGTTTTAGCAGCAGTGCTGCATGCAAGGACACACCCTGCAAATGTCCCTCTCCAATGCAGCCCCGCATCCCACTGAACCAATGGCACGTGATGGTCCTGGGTATGGAAACAGACTGGACCCGCCACAGGAGAGACAGCTTGAGCTGCAGAAAATCTCACTTCAAGCTGATTCAAGGAGGGGGCAGGAGGCAGCACCATGCACTGGGGAAGGCCTCTTCTCTCAGCAGCTAAGTACTCACCATGCCCAGAGCAAGCTGGTAAGAGCCCTGGCCCCAAAATGTTTGCTGCAAAGAGAGGAGGCAAGAAGGCAAACACAAGAAGGGCAGAAGAAACAAGATTACCTTATCAGACTACACCCAACTGGCATCTCCAACAGGAGACTCCAGCACGGTCTGAAGCTCCACAGAAGCTGAACTTCTGCCTTATGCTTCTCAGATGGGGCAGACTGCTCCACTGCAGCTCTTGTAATCATACCAAGTGAGCCCTTGGTCCCAGAGCAGCCTGATAACAAAGAGCTGACACTTGTCACTTTTGCACCCATGTTTAGTTGAGCACAGACTGTGCCAGACACAGGAAGCAAGAGCTGTGTGCTGACAAGGCTCCAATTACCCTGAGTGCAGAAGAGACAAGAGACAGTCTGATCAAAGCAGCAGAGTGCACTGACTGCTCCCCAAATTTTGGCAACTGCTGCTCACAAGCCCCAGCTCAGGTGAAGCCATTGTACAACACACACAGCTTTTGTGTTCAGGCCTCTGCATGCCTGATTTTTAAACAGACACATTTTAGAACAGGATTTTGGTGAAAAGTTTTGCTTATTTGAATTCCTTGAATTCAAACCTTTCCTGAACTGCTAGTTTAGGATTATGTAAAATCCATATGCGTATTCCTCTGTGATGGGTGTGGATGCTGAATGCAAGAGATCAGGCAGGTAGCACAGTGCCTGTGTGAAACTAAGTCATATAACCTTCTCACACTGGCCTGAGAAAGCATGGCCTGAGAAATTGCAGGGAGGAACTCAAACAGTCCTTGGAGAAGGAAAACAACCTCTGCAGGTGTTCTTTGTCTCCTTGCTGTTTACTTGCAAGAAACGGTCAAGGGGTGTCGTTCCTGACTGTCCAATAATGGTGATGTGTTGGTTTGACGGCCAATTAAAGTTTTACCTTTTCAGACCTTCTCAGAACTGTCTATAAAAGAAGATCTGGAAGAGTAAAACTAGGTCTCTTTGCAACTAAGCTTGAGAGTCTGTGTCGTCACTATTGCCATTCCTAATACAATGTGACAATGTCAGTCCTGGTGAAAAGACATTCAGGAAACAGTTTGCTTGGGAAAACTGCTGGCATATAGGGATGTTCAGTTTGAACTCCAAGCCTGGAAAATGTAAGCATGAATGAACTTGTCAGAAAACTCATGGGGAAAGAAAGCAGAGCAGTATAAAGAGGAAACCTCTTGCATCACCTGCTGGGCTCCAGCAAGCAGAAAGAAGCCCCAGCAGCTCTCAAAGCAGAGCTGTGCCTGATCAGCATGCCCTCAGGACAAGAGCCAAGCGGGAGAGGCTGCAGCAGACCTGGCCAGCAGGACAGGCACTCTAGTGCCCCAGCTTGCCCAGTCCTTCCTTGGCTGAGAGGCAAGGAATGTGCGAGACAGAGGATATGATGCCTGGCACGGAGCACACGGGGCCGTGGGCACAAGGAATGGTTCTCCTCATGAGCTGGGGTGAAACACTTCTCACCCGTGCTACAAACACACGGACTTGACAGAGCGACGCCCGCTAAGGAAGTGACACCCCGCTACGGACAGAGCCATCTACCTGCTGCACAGCAGTCAGAATGGGGTTACTGCTACCACAGTCAGGTCTTTGGCAAGCCCTTTAAACCTCCTGCCCCACAGGATGAGCTGCCCCTCTGGCAGTCAGGGCTGTTCCTGCTGGGTGAGCAGCTCACTCAGGCACTGCCCCAGAGCAAACCCCACTATGGAGCTGCTGTTCAGCCTGCAGCAAAGAACACGGCTGCATAGGAACCACACATCCCTCCAATCCCAGGCTCCTGCCTCCCACCTCTCCTCCCCACCCAGACACTCAGTCTTGCCAGTTTGGCTGGATTTTCAGGAATCTAAGTTCAGACACACGCTGCATATTTCGGCAAAATCAGGTCTTTGGTGCTTTGGCTGTGAAAAGGACTTGCCAGTTATTACAAGTGCCAGTAGCACATTTGTTTTCTAAGCAGACACAAAGGCAATAGAGATTATGGAGTAACTAAAGTACAACAGAGGAAAAAAGGCCTCTGGCCCATTTGCCAAGACACCCCCCCAGACACTTCCACCTGTCAGCTCCAGATGGGCAGCAGGCTGGGGCTCCATCTGAACCTGAGAAATGGACCTGGACATCTCTATACCTAGGATGAAGCATCCATGCTCCTGGAGATTTCTTTTAAAGAGAACAAAAGGAAAAATGAAGTTGTCAATTGGAGAAGGATAAAAATGAAAGGGAAACTGGTAAAGCCTGTAACATAGGTGTCTCAGAAAGAGCTGGTTACTTCATTGCAAAACATGAAACCATCAGTGAAACTACATGAGGAAATACTTTCCCATGTGACTCTGAATCCACCTGTAGAACTGTGTGCTGCAGGATGCAGTAGTGACACACAAAGCCACTGGATCCCTAATGGGACTACAACATCCCAAAAACCACTGCTTTTAATACTTCCCAAAAGATGACTGTGGTTCTCCTTCCCACGGTACAGTGTGCACCTCTTATTATGAGGGCTCTAGCATGCACACTTCTGCCACAGCTGCCTTCCTCAAGACTTTACTGCAGCAATCAGCTGTCAATGTCTCATTAAGGAAATTGCCTACCTGCAGAAACACAGATCCCAAAACCAGCCAGGCCTGCACACTGCCCATATCTCAGAACATGATTTCTCTGCTGAGCTGAGCACTGCACTTGTGCACATTTAGCTTCACGCTTTCAGCTGGGCCAGACCAGGTTCCAGAGGAGTCATGGAGAAGTGGCAACCTGGCATACCACACGCTGCTCCAGTGCACCGACTCACAGACGAGCCACCTTCACAAACACCCAGGCAAGAGCAGCACACTCCTGCATGCCACTGTCCCCTGTCACATCAGCATGGTACCCAATATGGCCCCTTGACAGCAGGTGCTGCACGGGGAACAGGACACCAAGTGTGGCTGGAAGCACCCATGCACACTGCGGGGCTGCCACGGTAAGCGTGTGGCAGCCGTGCTGGGGGAAGGAGAGCCGTGCTGGGGGAAGGACAGCCGTGCTGGGGGAAGGACAGCAGACAGCAGGCGCTGCCCCACAGCCCGCTCCAAGGGCAGACAGTGCTCCTTGTGAACAGTGAGGCAGCAGAGCCAGAGCAAAGGCAGCTTCTCACTGTGCCCTGAGGAGACAGCGACCCACATTCACCAGCATTACACCACCACCATAATTGGATTAAGCCACAGGAAGACTCTTTTATCTTGTTTAGCTTAAACTGCGTTAGTGCTGCAACTCCCCATTAAGCCACAGGCAGGCTATCTGGGGTGAATGCTCTCTCTGCCCAGCCATTTAGGCAAAATGCAATTCTGATATCAGAAGTCTCACACTGTCCCGTGCTTCTTTATCAGGGCAAGCAGCTAATTACACAGCCTGGCTCACACAGGTAATGAGCACTTGGAAAACCACAGTAAATGTAAAAACCTCCCAGGTCTTTAAGGAGCCTTTTCACAATTCCCCCCTTGTGTCCTTACTTCAGCCTGATCCATTTTGTTTCTTCACACTGAACAAGGTACACAATGATTCAGAGCTGAAGAGGTGTGAGCAAAGCCTCAAGTCAGCTGACTTCCACTCCCACCACACAGGCTGTGTGGCTCTGGAAACCCAAGGTGTGATGTAGCACAGTTGGAGCAGGACACATAGAAAGGCGAGCAGATGAACTGCAGACCAAATCATTCTCTACAGATCTCTGCAAGGTCAGTATTTTATATTTCACAGTTTGGGACACTGATCTATGAAAAGATACATCCTGCTGTTGGTTACACAGCAGCTAATCCAAAGAACAAGCAGCTGTTGAACAGTGACCTCCCTTTATCCATTCACACATTCATCTGTGCTGTATCCAGCAGCCTTTTCCTGCTGCCAGTCTCCTGCCAAACCTCAGTTTAGAGGTTTGCATTCTGCCCATCAAAATCATCCTTGCAATTTCAGCTGGATACAAAACTCTTTGATTCTCTTTCTGGAGCTTCTCATCATCATTGTGCAGTGCTGATATGTGGGATTAAACAGCTGATGTGGGATCCATTTATTTAGAGATATAATTTGTACAATACTTAGGACTTCTTCAGGATGAATGTTACTAGGATTATTAAATTTGCTTGCCATAGTGGCCAGCTATTTCTGTAAACCCCTCCCCCAGGAAATCAAGCTTCTCTGGAATGGCAAAGATGAAGTGGCACATTTGCACCCACAACCCTCTGCTGAAGGAAAGCCCTAACCAAATGACTCCTCACAGCACAGTTCCAAGGCAGGCTCTCTCTGGAAGAGATGCTGCTCCAAACAAAACAAAGTGCAGAACCAAAGAATTAACTGCAGCAGCTCTAACAGCTCTACTTACAACATCATATCCAGTGGGTGCTCGGCTCCGGGATGCCACCACACCAACGCCCGTGATGGGATCCATCGGCAGGTCGGGCAAGGCCTCGGTGAGGTCTCGCACCTCAGGCATTATGGACTGATCCTGGAAGAAAGAAGCAGAATTAAAGGGCTGCTGGGCACCACACCCCAGCAGAAGCCAGAGAACCAAGAGCACACATGCATGCCACAGTGCCTGTGCTGACACACTACAGACGGCCAAGGTAAACAGAGGATTAGGCCAGACACACCTTCTGCACTTTCATTTGTTTTTGATAAGAGAGTACACTTGTGCAATGCCAAATAGGTTTGAAATTTGGGCTGGCAGCCTCTGAGACTCATTTTGTTGCTTCCATGGACTGGTCTCCATCTAGCAGTGACAGGAAAACCAAAGCTCAATCCCTTCTCTCCCAAAAAGAGAACAAATTTCATCCCCAGGTCAGGCTGGTTGAAGCAGCTCTGTTATTTTAAACAGCAAGAAATCTGCTCCTAATGGCTTTAGAGGGAGGTTCCCCATCCACTACGGGTGTTAAGACATGCTGGGGGTTCCCCCGTGAGTCCTCAGTTCCATCACACCCCCCCCTCAGCCAGACTGATTTCAAGGAGCAGCACAGATGTCTCTGGCGCTGGATGCAGAACTGCACTGGCTGCAGGGAGCCTCATCACCAGGGAACACAGAGGAAGCACAGGGTAGGCTGGTGCAAAGCAGAGAGGCCTTGAAGAGGCCTGAGCATCTTCCAGAAGAGACACATCACCGAGAACATCAACGGAAGGAGATATGCAAGAAAGGACAGAAGCAGGTAAGACCAAATAATTTTGGAGGGATGCTGCTGCAGGAAGCAGGAGGAGAGGACAAGAAAGGGGCTGAAACAACCGAGGTGAAGGATGGGAAAAGGTGCCACTACCTCAGCATGTGATCTCCTGCAGAGGCAGCCAGTTAAAGCAAGTCTTCCCTGGCTTTCAGGCAGGAATGCCCCAGGAAACCGCCCCCAAACACCCCAAGACAAAAGGGCAGTGCTTTGTGTAAACAAGCATCACTGCTGCACAGACAGACAAGCCGTGAACCAGAGCTGCCTAATTCAATTCCCTCCTCAGAGCAATCAAACCCCAGCATTTCTAAGCCATTTAGATGGCTGGTTACTTACTGCTTCTAGAAAAGGCAGAGGTGAGTACTGGTGCCAGTGGGACCTGGGTTTACACTTCACAATGCCCAGTCTGAACAAACATCGTGCTGCAGGCAATAAAAAAGAGCAAGTCTGGGCCCTATGTAAATAATAATAATGTCACATGAACAGCCAGACCACTTGAGGAGTCCAAAACAATAGGTGCTAGTGACCAGTAATGGTGCAAACACTATTGCTGATGAACCAAACAGAGAGGACAGCTCTGCTTTAGCACCAGGACACACATCCAGCACACAGAGCAAAGCAAACCCTCTTCACTCCCCAAAGCATGATGGCAAGTGCAGCCGGAGCCACAGGGGCTCACCCTCCTCCCCCAGCAGGCTCTCTGTTGTCAGGGTGGGTGAGGAGCATGGGGCCCTACTGCAGGAAAGCTGGAGGCACCGGCACAGCCAGGACAAACCCTGCACCACTGCCTGTGCCACCCACAGCTCACCTAGACGCCTTGCCGGTAATGCAGAACCTCAGATATACAGCATGGAACAAACATAATGTGAATTTAACAAAGAGCTTGGAATCTGCTCTTCATGAACGCTTTCTGAAACTTCTTCAAGTCACTCAATAGTGTAGCGACTTGTTACTACATATTGAGAGGAGCTGAGAGGTAATGAATGCTGACATAAGCTTCTCTTAGGCCATTCTGAACTGAAATCCAGGTAAGTGATGATACTCCACAGCGTGTTAATAACACCACACGGCAGGCTCCCACCCAGCTGCACTGCAGGGAAGCAGATCTGCTCACACAGTGCCTCCGGCCTCCACCAAACGCACCCTGATGCAGTGCCTGCTGCTGAACGCTGCCCAGGCCGTCTCGCCATGCTGGGGCCTGCTGCAGGGAGGCCCAGCTGCTCCGGCAGGAACCTGAGCAGCTGCCAGGTCAGCCTGGGCAAGGCTGAGGACGAGGGGATCCCCGGCACCGGCACAGCAGAGCTGGATGCTCCAACCCGCAGAGCCGTGCCTCCCCCGCAGCCTGAAGGAAGAAGGGCACCTTTGTGGGAGCCGTGTGCGGCCCTGCTCGGCACGGCAGGGGGAGGGGAGACGGCATCAATCCTCACTTTGTGCCGGCTCACACAAAGCCCCTCTATGGCGGCAGCGCCGGGCGTGGGCCTTCCGCCTGGCCACGGTGGATGCTGCGGGCTAACGCGGCACAGGGCCCGAGCAGCACCTGCTGCAGCACGGCCAGGCTCTGCCACGCCAGGCCAGCCACCCTGCACAACTGCCCGCTGTGCAGGGGCACTCAGGATGCATCTGGAACAGATATGGAGCAGTACAAGTCAGCTGCACACTGGGATAAATGTTTCTGTGAACTCTGCACAGGTCAGAGGGGAATCTGCGGCTGGGCAATCACACAGATGATTAGTTACACTGCACTTCGCGAGTGTGTCAACAAGGTTTAGTTTCTTTTCTATTGCGCCTTTTAACTCAAAAATGAAAAAAACAAACAGTGAAAGAGGAGATTAAATTAAGGAGCAGGATTCCCTAAATACCTCTATTAGGCAGCTTGTTGTTTTAATTCTCTTTAGCAATGTGAGTTTGACCTGCATGCCCACCTACCACCACAGTGGCTGAGTGCTCAGCCCAGGATATGGCCTGGTCAGCATCCTGCAGTAAACTGCCTGTGCCGAACTGCTCACTGCAGGGTTATTCCGGGAACAGGCCAAAACAATGAGAAGAACACTTTTCCCATTAGTTGTGAGTGTGCTCCCTGGAAGCTGTTCTCAGCTGTAGGGCCACATCCAGTCCCCAGCACACCCCAGCAGCCAAAGGAAGCCGGATGTGTGCTCTGGGGCAGGAAGATGCTTCAGAACACTGTGGGGCCACCCAGACAAAGCCAGTGGGGAAGGAATGTGTCTCTGACAGAAAAAGTCCCTGTGCATGCTGGCGGGGCCAGCACCAGCCCCAAGCAGCATGCAGCAGAGCAGGGTGGGACGGTTGCAGGACGAGATGGACAGGATGCAGTCTTGGACAAGCAGCCACCATGCTGCTGGCTCCATCCCAAATGCTTCTCAAGCCTCAAACCAGACATGCCTCAAGGCAGGAGGCATAGTGTCCCAGGGATCTCGATGCCCAGCTGTAGCAGAGGCCTTTTGGGACTCCACTGGTTTCTGGCACAGCCTTCGTCCCACAACCCATGCCCACAGTCACACACACTTCCCCTTTTGCCAGCACTCCCAAATTTGTCTGTTTATAGCCTTTTTGCTTGTTCTCTCCCATTTCCTTGTTAGCTCATCCGCCTCTATTAGTTTATCCTAGGCATACTTTTCTGCTGGCTCCACTGAGGTGACTGACCACACACGCTGCTAGGCTCTGGCTGGGACACACATAAAGCAGAAGAACCCACTTTCAGAAATGAAGGCATTAATGTGAGTTTCTAGACCATTTTCTGCACTCAGTGTTCCTTTTGAACAAGTTCAAGATCTGGTGGGTACATAACCAAGCCAGGCCCTTCAATGTATTTGCTACAGAAGCATCATGCTGCTAGCAAAGCAGGTCAAGCTCTGAAGTTAAATAGCCAGGGCCTTAAGAGGGAGAATGGTGTTATTGTTTCTTCCTCCAGCTACAAGCCCTGCACTTTGACACTGGCTTGCTCTTCCCACAGGCAGGAAAGTATGAGCTAAGCCAAAACTGGAAAAAAACCCCAACTACCTCACTGTGTTTGTGGGAAATGGTCCCACAAACCAAAGCAGACACGCTGCTCAAACCCTGGCTGCCTGTGCAGCCTGTCACTCCAGCCCTGCAGGATGGTGGGTGGCACTGCTGGCACCGCACTGCTCCGGGGGCACACCGCCTCAACTCTCCCGCGCTCAGGCACTGGACACGGCCCCAGACAACTTTCTATTCCTGTTTCTATTCCTGTTCATGGAACAGGACATATCTTCAATGAGAAAAACAGGAGCCCGCAGTGGCAATCAGCATCAGGGCCTTGGAGACCACCATCACAAACAGGAAGAACTGCAGTGTCACATTACACCACCATCGAAGGCATGCCCGGAATCACCCCTGCACACAGGCTAGGGACAGCTGCCCTGCACCAGCTGCAGAATCTATACTTTGTGACTGAATGGGATGGAAACAGGAACTTAAGTGAGAGAATGAGCAAAATTGAGACCCCGTATTGCTTCACAGCACTTCTAACTATGGACACACATAGTGTCCTGTTTCAAACCAAAATAGGTTTCCATACACAGATGGCCTTGCACCAGGGCAGCAAAACTGAAAGGATATTCAGTTCAGTTACTTCTATCTCGGCAGAGATATGAACAGGTCCCTGGGGGCTACTGGCACCCTTAAGCCTGGGATTTGTTTTATCAGAGATGCACAAAAGGGGTACAAGAGTGAGATGCTGTCTGTTTTATCTCACACCTCCAGAAACTCAAATTATGCCTTCATCTAGAAGGGAAGGCCATCTCGGCTAAAAATGATAGGAATGATGCTGCCAACCTGCTGCACAACACACAGGCTCCCTAAAGAATATAGTTAAACTAAAACACGAAATAGAGAAACCCAAGCTTTATCCCGAGAAGCTACACACCTGCTGACATCTGGCCTGTCTAGTTTCAGGGTTAACTCTGTGACCAAGCTGAGAATGCCCCAGCTCTGGGAATGTGCAGATAACACTGAAGACTGGTGGACCTTTGAAAATGTCTCCAGGAACTGCAGAGAAAGCTTGCAAACCTCCATGATGCAAGGCACAAGTACTTAAGACACAAACCACACTCTGTCGCTGCTCCAGCCAAGCCGTAAGAAGTCAGACAGTTGTCACTGGGCACTGAGCACAGGTAAGAAAGGGGCAGTCAGGTAGGCCCGTGTTACAAACGCAGCAAAATACCACATGAAACGGGGTATTTTGTCATTTCCTCTGTCACCAAGAACAATTTACAGTAAATTCCGGAGCAGGTCAAGGTCACCGGGGCTCTACCCCAAGGCTGGTACCCGAGGCCGTTCCTGCAGCTACCCCAGCCTCGGAGGAATCGCCGGGTCTCACGGAGGCCACGGGGGCGCTCCAGCCCGGGCCCAGGCGTGAGGTCCCCGCGACGGCCGCCCCCGGCG